ATTGGATAGAAAAAAAAACGAATTACAAATACTCCAAGATTTTTTTGACTTCATTAAAAAATAAAATCGTTTTTGTAGAATGGAAACTTTTTGAGGTCAAAACCCCCCACCCCCAAACTAAAGGAAATAAGTTTTTTATCCGACATTGATCTTTTGACGTCGTCCCTAATATTGATCCTTTTCAGAGTCGCTAAGCTACATCTCCACACACCACAAATATATCACACATGTCCCTCTAAAAATAGTAATCCTCAACAAAACAATCTGTGACCAACTTTGTGATTGATTCATTTTTTTTTTTATTAAATAAGAATGCCTATCCTGCAATATCATACTTTTTGTGTGCAGGTGATGCAGCTCAATTATATATAATTAATTTAAAATCATGTATGCATGCATTCTTCTTCGTAGAGACTATGGGTCATTTATCACTAAGCTAGGTAGTCACCAGAGAACGTCCCACTAATCTCTGTGGATCTTTAGGTCAGGTCATAAGCTTGAAAACTCTGCAAGGGAGAGTGGTATGCATGTTGCTCACAAGTATTGCTGTATTTGTATAGTATGCTGCACCCAGTGTTTTCTGCTGCAGTGAATCACGTGAGATCAGTCTGGTGATTTTTATGAACAAATAACAGACATCATTTTTTTTTCAACAAAATATAAATGAGTTGTCTTTTCTGCTAATTTGTTTCATACAACACTGACCCAAAAGTAAGTTGACATGCTTTACAATCTATTTTTTCTTTTATTAAATAATAATATCAAAATGATAAATAAGAAAATTTAAATGGATTCCAAAAAAACAAACCAGTGTTTTGCCTTCACCTCATTTTTTTCACAATCTTATTGGGTTAACAATTGAAAAAAAACATGAAAAGTCTAGTAAAAATGAGAAAAACGTCTGGTCATATGGCCTGTTCTTGTACACACTGACTTTTATTCATATCATACAAATAACTGTAGATGTATTGTTGTACATTTTCCAGCTTCATAGTAGATGCTGTTTTTGTGCGTATTGTAGGTGCCAAAGTGCAGCTCTTGTCTATTTAATTGAGAGTGGATAAAATTTAACGATAACATCTAGTCCCATGTAATATCATAATCATTGTGACAACTTAACAATTTTATTATTTGTGAAATTACTTTTTAAAGTTTTGTTTTTCTCAGCTTGTATTTTAGAAACTGATTGTTTTATATTTCTATCTTGTAAAATTTAACATGCTTTTTGGATAAATAAAGACTGCGCATAATTTGATTACTATATTTCTTAGTTGTTATTTTCTGCACAACATGGAGTCTTGGTATTTATTAGGTGTGCGCGTGTCTGTTCATTGTGATATGTCTCTTCACTGGAATAATCTGCAAACCTAAATACTGTAAATAAATTCATTGGGTTTTAATTTTGCTATTTTCGCTGATAAGTAAAATTCGCCAAAATAAATTTATGGAAACATGTAAATTAACATTAAAACTAGTTGTTTCCTTGACAAATTAATGAAATTAAAACACAGTGAATATGCTCAAAGCAATAGAATGTCAGTGAAAGTAAATGGTTTTACAATATACTTTTTGTTTTGATTACCTGTTTTGCATAATAATGAGCCAATTTTTAGATTTTTACTGGTATATTTGAGAAACATGTGTTAGAATTAATTTTTGATTTAATGCTGTGTACGAGATCATTAAAGTTTGATTTGGGCATAGGGCTGTAATATGCAGTTATTACGAGGATACTGTCTGGGTGCATACTTTGAAGTATCCTCGTAATAACCTTATTATTATATTATATTATATTATATTATATTAGATTAGATTAATTAGATATTATTATTATCTTTTCCTTCCAAGGATACATTAGGGAATGCAGAAATCCATAAAGTTTATAACAGAATCAGCGAACTTCTTTGTGTGCAGTCAGGTCAAACCCTTGTGGCAGCCATAATTGTTTTTATTATTAGAGGACACTTACACGCGTAATCATTATATATTTGGAATTTGCATTTCCTAATATGGTAGAATGAAAAAACCCTGTAAAATACCTCAAAATTACGGCACTCTGTAACTTATGGCGTTACGGTGACAGATGTATAATGATAGAAAATATTTATATACTAATACTGCTGGTTGGGCTGCTTTTTCATTCACAGTAATAGCTGTTGTTTGTGAGGTGTGGGCAAAATTTAGTTTTATTTTTCCAAAGTTTTGAGTTTGAATACCCTTTACTTCCCTCAAACTATAAACTACATGTGATTTATATATTTTAAAATTAAGGAAGAAATGATTATGTGTAAATTTACTTTTCTATTCGCAATTATTTTTTTAAAAACTTGAAAGGGTTGATGGTAGAAGAGCTAGTCTTTGTCTCTATGGTGAGTTTGCTCTAGATGTTTTTTTTAGGGGGTTAACACTATGTGGAATACAATTTAGGCATGTTATTGATCCCTTCAGGATTTTTTTCCATTGCAAACTTTTTTTTCTATTTCTGCTATTGAGTATCTAATGGCCAAATCCTTACTGATCTGTTTAAAGTAGCATTTGCAATTTGCAAATATGTAAATCATATAATAAAAAAGCTTAAAATGTGTTTAAATGATGCTGTTTCAGCTAAAAAAAAAATATGATATATTCAAAGTAGATATTCTGCCTTCACTTTCCTACCTTCTTTATTTTGAAAGTACTGGAGGTCTTATCCCTTAGATTTTTTATATCTGCTATGTAAATGACCTTTGAGGACAAACAAAGTCTGTCATTATGCATCCACAATCTCAACATTTTATGGTATATATACCGAAAACAAAAACCCTTTTTTGAAAATCGTTGTCGTAGTAGAGTAAACTACAACATAAATTTAATACCTACTTCTTTAAGAAATGTTGGGGGGGCCTTGTACTAACTATAAATTAGCAGCCTAGGGAGCTTGCTCAACACAAAATCCAACATGGCGTCAGTTAGGGAGAGTGATACGAGTCTGTGGTTGTATAATAAACTCGGTGATCAAGATGATATGTGGTCTGGAATAAGTAGCTTTAGTGCACAGCTCACTCGGGATGTGTTACGTAATATCCAACAGTGTTTTGTAGATGTCCAAAGTCAGGTCAAGCTAAAAGTTCTTCTCTCGTTTGTCCATATGTCTCGGAGAAATTTGGACGAGGTAAGATAGCATAATAATATTAATATTAATAATGAATTTATTGCATCCTTAGAAATATTTTCCATTGGTTGAACAGCAATAAAATGTTAGTAATAAAGTACAATACATATAAAACTAAACTAAAAGTAAAATGTCAGTTATTGTTATTTCTGATTTCAAATATTTTGTATAAGTATTCACCAACTTGTCTTATTAGTACGTCTTCTCTTGAACTCATAATATATTTAAGTATCTGGTTATCACTTTTCAATTCTTCTGAAATATTGATATTATTAAATAGCTTTTGTCTTTCTGTTTGGTACCTAAGACATTCCATGAAGAAATGTTCTTCATTTTCAATTTTGATCTGGGAACATTGCTTACAGATTCTGTCTTCTAAAGGTATTTTGGGTTGGGTATGTCTACCCTTCTCAATTTCTAATACCGCGGTACATGACTGCTTATTCTGAAACAAGTCAATAAGATTTTATGTTTCAGATTACATAAGAGCAAATATGGTTCAAAAGTGTAGGAGTCTTTAAACTTTATATACGTTCTCAGTTTTCTATTATCATTTGTTACACAAATGACTAGCCATGGAGCTGTTTTTTTTTTTCAGCTCCATGGATTAGCATTGTATAGTCCATTTGATTCTCAGTCTCAAAAATATCTGCTACACAAATGTAGATAGATGGTTGTTGGTACATTAGGATTAGGTTGGGATATGGTACTAATATCTTGTTTGACACACACAGTGTAAGGTAAGTATTGGGTTAATTGTGCAAACTTGCCCACTGAACAAATTCGCCAACCACCTCGGTTTTGATTACCACGTTTTTGATTACGTTCAGATGTTAGAAATTTCTAAAATAAAAAACAACAACAATATTTCAAATAAGTTTGAGGTTTTACATGACAAAATTGTTTGTGTAGGGTAAATCTAATTTAAACAAGTAACCTGTTGAATGCTGTGTGGGTATTATTTTTATATTGATTTTTGTTGCATTTGCAGCAAATAGTTACCAAACAATGAGAAATCTATAGGATTGGATATACCTCTCAGCTGGCTTCACATGCATAGTTCAAGACTGCCTAACCGGTGCTTATACCAGGATTTAGTTGCAGCACTGTGGTCTGTGGTTACAGCTTCATTTTCCGAGTAATCACAAGAAATTGACATTACAATAGAAAATAAAGACTGGCACTCCCATACAATTAATAGCAAGTGAAATTCCTGGAATTGAAACATAGATTTTGAAGTCACTGGTGAAGGCATTGAATAACTTCAAGTTGGCATAAAGACGAGGTAGTTTATTTAATCAGTGCTGAACTAGAGGTTGAAATTATAATTAAGTTCGTTGTCATATAATTTGTTTATTTAAATTTCTCCTGAATTCAAATAGAATACACTGGTGAAAGGATGTTTTTGAGGTGTGGTTACATTGTGTATGGAGTGGTAGGGTTGGGTGTCATATAATTTTTTCATTTTCAACTCTCATGAAATCACACAGAATTTCACTTAATTTATTTTCGATGAAAAGTTTTCAAGCAT